AGCTTTAAAACAACGTGAGAACTTTTAGAAGCAGATCTGTGAAATGTAAAAAAAAAAAGTCTGGAAAAGTGCGTTTAGAATATTCAGATCGGCTCTAATAGACTTAAAGGTATACAATTCCATATATTAAAATTCGTTATATTTGTATTTATTGAAAATTAATCGTTTGGTGTCTTGAGAGCCTTTAGTAACAGCTGCACTTGCGTGCAGTCAGTTTGTTGTTGCCACTACACAGTATGGCTGAACTGTATATAATGAGAACTGTATATATGATTCAGTTGTTTATGTTTAGCCTATGTCCTTAGCACAAAAAAATCTTGATTGCTTACATTGGTTTGATTGTTTTGTTTTACTCATGTCACATAAAACATTTACAGATTCAGATTCCATCCATAGCTTCTCCTGGCATACATGTCTCCAACTTCAGTGCACCACTTTAGACATCAGTGGTCAATACAGAGATGGAAAGCAGCAATACAGGGATATTTGACTCTGAATAGAACCACTGCATTGCACACAATCTGCACAGATCCACCAATGATTCTAAACCCCAGAAGAAAATACAATTCCAAAGCAAAACAGATGTCACTCACAGCGCTTGATTGAAGTGGGCCATTGTTGTGCCACCCCCTCCGTTCTGCAAAGGCTCAATACGAACTCTGGGTCTCCTCCTCACGTACAAAGCCCCAACTCCTTAAAACACAACCACTCATTAATATATTTTGGATAATGTGACCGTTGCGCATTTAAATGTACAATATGCTACCTTTGGGCCCGTAGATCTTATGGCCGCTGATGGACATCAGATCCACTTTCCATTCACTGACATTAATGGGGATCTTTCCAACAGCCTGAGCAGCATCAGTGTGGAAGAACACATTTTTGGACCTACACAGATGACCTGAAATCAAAAACATTATTGATATAGATGATATGAAGATTGACAGGTACACGTTTAGAGAATGATGTTGATAGTAAGAGTTACCTATTTCTTTGATTGGTTGTTTGACACCAATCTCATTGTTGATAGTCATTATGGACACCAAACTGGTATCAGGACGGATTGTTTCCTCTAATTGCTAAGAAAGCAAAATATAAGGTATATTTAAAATACAGTAAATTTGCAAAAGTACAATAAAAAACATTGTTTAAAAAAAAACAAAAAGATGAATTTTTCACATGTTTTTTTTCTGTGCCAGTATCAGCCACCAACAGGACTGCAATCTATCCGAGCATGTAATTATTTTTGCTACTCTGGTTGGTGCTGAAATTGGAAGTTTCCTCTTTCAGAAAGCTTACCTTCAAATCAATCAGTCCATTATTTTTCACAGGTAAGTATGTTACATCAAAACCCTCTGCCTCCATAATTCGGCAGGAGTCCAGCACACACTTGTGTTCGGTCTGCGTGGTAATAATGTGGTTTTTCTTAGCCTTATAAAACCGAGCCACACCCTTTGAAAATGGAAAAAAAGACAAGATATAAAAGAACAACCAAAACATTTGTAGTTGTTTTTAACGACTAGTGCAGCGCAGCCTATATAAACTTCACCTCTTTGTTTATTTTAGAATATGACAAGTCATTTGTGTCCCAGCGTCCCACTTTCTCCTAATCTTACCTCACAGTAATGACATTCTTACTTTGATTGACATATTGTTGGACTCAGTCGCACCACTGGTGAACACAATCTCCCTCGGGTCGGCACCAATAAGATCTGCTACTTGCTGAAGAGGAAATACCATTTGTGTTACCATAAACAGTGCATTTTTGGCTTAACCAAAATATTATGCTTCAATACTCAGAAATACAACTCTCAGCTATCTAAATCCAGAGAAAATGTTCTTGCTTCTTTAATGAAAATATTCAGGTTAGAATAAAGACTTACTTTTCTCGCTTTTTCCATTGCACTCTCGCTCTCCCATCCATAAGCGTGAGTCCTGGAATGTGGGTTCCCGTAGTAATTGACTTGATAGGGGAGCATGGCATCCAAAACCCTTGGGTCCTGGAACATTGTTCAATGAAAACAATGGCATGTAAACATCCCAGAAATGTAATTCAGAAATGTTCACGAGTCTGATTAGATAAATTAATCTAGATGGCAGGAATAGAATTAGGATGACAATGGCAGATGGGTACCATGGGTGTGGTGGCCTGAAAGTCCATATACAGCGGCCTCAGTTCATCCTTTTCCAGTTCCCTACTTTTGATCAACTCTGTGGAGAAACACAGACATGTTTATCAACACTGAAAGTTATAGTGACTGGAATAAATACAGCCATATTATAAAGCCAAGCATGTATTTACATGTCAGCTTGCTAGTATCTGTATTAGCACAGCCTTCTACAGTAACTTACACAAGCTCAATTCAGCTGCGTCACTGTTAGTCTCTAGACCAGGGGTGCCCAACCCCTGCTCCTGGCGATCGACTGTCCTGCAAAGTTTAGCTCCAACTCTAATCAAAGACACCTGCCTTTAATTTTTAAGTGATCCTGAAGACCCTAATTAGTTGCTTTGGGTGTGTTTGATTAGGGTTGGAGCTGAACTTTGCAGGACAGTTGGGCACCCCTGCTCTAGACTAGAGAAATAGATTTAGTAATGCTGTACCTTTCTGCCTCTGCACAGTGTTGACGGCGCTTTGAGCGAAGCTCAGTCGAGGATTGGAGATCCCACACATGGAGCCCAGAAGTTTTCTCGATAAAGTCCTGTTCATCATGTTTATGCAATTACAGTGTTCTCAACATAAACAATGACAGAAATAATAAAAAATAGCTTCTTATAAAGCCTTCGTCAACCAATAAACGCGTCAGATAAATAAATGTATTATTCGGGCAACTTCAGAAACAACAACATGCCCACTAAGTTCATATAACAGCGTGTCATCAGCCCTCAAAACACTCGGCAACGCTTACACAAGACGCACATACCGCGGGGGCGGGACGCCTGTTATTATAATTCTCATTGGTTATCTGAGTCTCTTGTGGGCGGGTTTTTGTGACGTTTACGGAGTTTATTGGTTGAAACCTAAACCTCCCTGTTTCTTTTACCGGAAATTGTGAATATGAACCAATACAATGCTGCCCTAAAAGTTAGTTTCTCCGTCCTTGGAAATATAAATATCCAGTACATTTGGAGAAAATCGGCAGCGTTTAATGAAAGACATCTTTAGTTTTAAGTCTTTGGTTTATATATATTCCCACAAATCGTGATGGGAAATCCAAATCATTTCCGCCAATCGGTTCTTTTGAAGAGTTCATTTCAAAGAACCTATTCGGTTGTTGCCTGCGTCATTACGTAATTACGTCATCAACGCGCTAATAAAATCACATGAAGCTACATAGTAACGCAAAATCATAATTATAACGAAACGTCGAAATTATGACATTAAAAACAATCATTGCATAAAAATCGAACATATTCCAAGATGAAAAGTCACAATTTTGACAAAAAATCATTTACATCAATGTCATAAAGATGACGTTTTGTCATAATCTCGACTTTTTATGTCATAATTATGACATTTGTGTTTTTTAGGGTTCGGCTTCCATAAGTTTTACTTTTCTACTATTGAAATTAATTTTCGCTGTGCAAGGTAGGCGCGCTCCCGCGCAGCTAAGAATATACATAGAATGGACTTTCTCATTCCTTGAGCTTAGCTTTAAAACAACGTGAGAACTTTTAGAAGCAGATCTGTGAAATGTAAAAAAAAAAAGTCTGGAAAAGTGCGTTTAGAATATTCAGATCGGCTCTAATAGACTTAAAGGTATACAATTCCATATATTAAAATTCGTTATATTTGTATTTATTGAAAATTAATCGTTTGGTGTCTTGAGAGCCTTTAGTAACAGCTGCACTTGCGTGCAGTCAGTTTGTTGTTGCCACTACACAGTATGGCTGAACTGTATATAATGAGAACTGTATATATGATTCAGTTGTTTATGTTTAGCCTATGTCCTTAGCACAAAAAAATCTTGATTGCTTACATTGGTTTGATTGTTTTGTTTTACTCATGTCACATAAAACATTTACAGATTCAGATTCCATCCATAGCTTCTCCTGGCATACATGTCTCCAACTTCAGTGCACCACTTTAGACATCAGTGGTCAATACAGAGATGGAAAGCAGCAATACAGGGATATTTGACTCTGAATAGAACCACTGCATTGCACACAATCTGCACAGATCCACCAATGATTCTAAACCCCAGAAGAAAATACAATTCCAAAGCAAAACAGATGTCACTCACAGCGCTTGATTGAAGTGGGCCATTGTTGTGCCAAATTCTGACCCCCGCCAGATTATTACCCCCTAGTATTGGTAGGTTTAGGGTTAGGTGTGGGGGAGGGGTTAGGATTAGGGGTAGGGTTAGGATTAGGCAATCAGATATCGATTTCAACCAGGGGGTAAAAATTTGGCAGGGGGTCGAAAATGGGAACAACACCTGTCCAGCACTTCTTTTTTTCCACTTCAAGCAATAAACCATGTTTCGAAGTCTAATGAATATAGTTTAAAACCAAATGGTTATGGACGGTATGAGTCAATAAAAGGGTTTGATAGTAATATCCTACCATCAAACTCCCCAAGTGAAGACCGACGGAGTGCTGCAATGTCTTCAGAGCCGTGGCATGCTGTTCAGTGTTTGATGGCCATGCAGGGTCTGTTAGTGAACGCCTCTTTTACTACATATCTGTCTCTACTTCCACTGAAGACTTTAACAGAGATAGAGGAGGCTGTGGAGAGTGAACAGCCTGTGCTTCCATTCCAGTGCTACAATGGCACAAGCATCCCAATGACTTTGTTAGCACAGATGCTGGTAAACTATACTTCAATAGCCTGAGGACATACTGGCAGGAGAGGATAGATCTGCACAAGGATGATGACAATGATATACAAACAGCATTAAGAAACTTTCAAAAGATTGGATAACGATATTTCCTTGGAGGCCCAGGTGGACTTTGGGGTTCCTTTTGCTCATTTCACACCTCTCAGAGTGGCTCTGTCTGGATGCACGGTTTGTGTGGTTCACGTGGACCGAAAAGATCTTCATGTGGCCAATAATATGGGTGACAGCAGAGCAGTTCTCGGGGTCCAAGGGGATGATGGGAGGTGGTCAGCTCTCACTATTACCAACGACCACAATGCCCACAACCCAGACGAGATACAACGGGTTATTTTGGAGCATTCTGCTTCTGAGCGGAAGACAGTGGTGAAACATGACAGGTTATTGGGCCTGTTGATTCCTTTCAGGGCTTTTGGAGACATGAAATTTAAGCGGAGCAGTGTGCTCTTGAATCGCATCTACGAGGCACGTCCAGAGCTGCTGATCGGAAACGAAAATACCACACACCACCAATGCACTAATTCCGAGCACCAGAGCACTAACATACTTGGCCACATGTCACGTCACCTTATAGCAGATCCAGAAACTACATATCACAAGTTGCGACCACAGGACAAATTCTTGATTCTAGCTACTGATGGACTCTGGGAACTGTTGCACAGAGACTGCTGTGCAGGTCTTAAGGGAACATCTGTCTGACATCCAGTGGAAGAAACCAGTTTCTGGACTGGGTTTTACAGTTGGACAGATGCATAGACTGCTGCAAGGAGGAAGGGTAGAGCTCTTTCTGCTCTGGAGGATGAGAACAGTGATACTCATCTGATCAGTCATGCTCTGGGCAGCGATGGCTGCTCCACTGAACCCAAGCCAAAATGCTCAGTCTGCCACAGGATTTGGCAAGGATGTACAAAGATGACATAATTATAGTCATTCACTTCAATAGTTAATCTACTTGAAGCAGATATGAAATCTTTTGTATTTTTTGAGTATAATAATTTAAGACATTTTGTGCACATTACACATCAAATAACGATTATTAGAATAATCTGAAGTTTAATTTATACTCATTGATATGGTGGCTTCTCCCATTTATTGTAAAGTTTATTTTTTAGTTGAAATTCAAGAGTCAAAATGTTTTTGATATTTACACAAGAGGTTACTCTACAAAAAATAACTAAATAAACTGCAAGTTTCAAAACTAACTCCCCAGTTTAAGGAGTACTTTCTCTTTCTCAAATGGCCAGATTTGTGAAGACACGAGTCTCCTCAACACACTCCTTAACATGCGCCATTGTCGTATGCAATCGAAGAGCAATACTGCTAAGTAATCAAAACTTGGCAATTCTTTTAAAATGACCTTGAAAAACAATCCTTAAATGCATTTCATGACCATCATGATCTGTGTAAGTTTTTGAATGGGGAAAAAAATACTAAGATAAGAGCACCTCAGGAAACAATATAAAAATGTAAAAAATCACTTTAAGCATGTCAAAAACCGACTGTGTCATTACTTCAACCAATAAATATTGCAACAAACCTCAACAACAAAAAAGGACATCTCTCTTTTGCTGTTTTTTTATAACATAGGAATTCACACTGTTCAAATTAAATGAGGATCAATTTTTTTCAGTTATCTTGGCTTTATTTGAAATTAACTTTCATCAAGGACTTTACAAAAATCAAATCGATTAGAAAAACAAGATGGTTCTAAACTTTATGGTCTCTAAATGAACAAAAGATATTTGTGTCAGCCATTTAGTTGCCACAGCTCATAGAGCCAAAAAGTTGAATATGTTCATGTCTGATCAAAATTGCAGTTTAAATCCAAGACTTATTTATATTGTGTATCTGTCAAAATTGCACACTTCCTCAAGTGAGAAACATGCCAATCAGATCTATCACGAAGACAATATATGTGGAAGGGAAAAAAAATAATGTATGAACAATAAAAGGTCAAGAAGCAAAATTCAATAAGTAGGCTGTACATAGGAAACTTCTTTTACACCACAGAACTTCTCTCAACGTCAAGACCTGTAAGGACACTATGCAAGTAAAAGTTTTAAACTTATTGGTTTTGTAACCAACTTAAAAGGAAACAAAACAACTGTGCCACAGCTTGCAGAACTGTTAATGTTGTCCAAAAGTTAAAAAGAACAAGGCTGAAAAAGTTGAGTCTTCCAGAGGTGATTGATCACCGGCGACTGGGCATAAGAAGCTGTGTTGCCTGCACTGACTCTGGGAAAAGGTTGTGGTATGTAGGAAGAGGAACATAAGCTGCTGTGATCATTTTACCTGGAATACAATATTGAAATATAAGATATAACAATTCAGACAATAATACATATGGGTTTTAGACAGATTACATAGTACTAGGGCTGGGTATCGAGTTTGATACTTTTTAGGCACCAACCGAATTTCCTCGATACCACTGAGTATCGAAAAATGTCTTGTCGTTCAGTACCAAATTTCGAAACCTAAAGAGTTAATCAAGGAAAAACACTAGGTGTGTACTAGGGCTGTGCAATTAATCGCATGCGATTGTCATGCGCATCTCGTCAGTAAAGCCAGTTCCGTGATTAGTAGTAAATCTCCATCACCTGCTTTCAGATGGAGCGGCATTTACTACACAGAGCCGTAGTTCACTGACAATTAGGCAATATCGCGTTCATAATCGAATGCGATTCATCTGCGACGCGATATTGCCTAGCTTGTCAGTGTGTAGTAAATGCCGCTCCATCTGAAAGCAGGTGATGGCGATTTACTACCAATCACGGAACCGGCTTTACTGACGAGATGCGCATGACAATCACATGCGATTAATTGCACAGCCCTAGTGTGTACGACTTGATGCAGCGCTGTGCAGATCGATCAGTGTTTGACATCAAAGTACCGCGATACCGATTCAAAAGCTTCTGTTCTCTATAGCTCTCATGGTACATTGATATCATACACCGATCAGTCTGCGCAATGCCTCGTCAAGTCGAACACTCCTACTAGTTTACGCCCCGAGAGACGTGGCTCACATGTGAGGCTGTAGTGTGTGTGAGCATCCCAACCACCATAGATGTAAGGCTAAGTTTACACTAGGGCGTTTTTGTTTTAAAACAGCATTTTAAAATGAACAATCCTCGTCCATACTGGCGTTTCCACTGCGTTTCAGAAAAGATCTCCGTCCCCACGACCGAAAACCACCTCGAGTGTTTGTAATAACTTCCGATTGCGATCTAATGTTTGTTTTGGTCATATAATGTTGCTGAAATATGTTATTTGTAGCCTTTTATATCAATCTAATCGCTACACCTGCTTAGCATTTCTTATGTAAACACCCTGTATTATGAAATTAGGCAGAATCTCATGAAAATCACATACAAATCATATACTGTCATAATCGTGTTTTATTAGGTTCATGTTTCATCTGTAGAAATGTTTTTCTGGGTTTCTTATGTACAGAACTGAACCTGGAAACGTAATGGACATTCTCATAGGAGACGGTGAGTTATGAATAGTGGTGCAACGGATCACAAAACTCACGGTTCGGATCATATTACGGATTTTGAGTCATGGATCAGATCATTTTTCGGCTCAGCAAAAAAAAAAAAAAATTTTTTGACTGAATGCTTACTTTAAGTACTTCTATACTACAGCAAAAACTACTAGCTTAACTAATAAAGTCAGTAAAAAACAAGAACAATTACACAAACTACAAGCATAGATTGTAATAGCATAGAATACAACATAACACAGTTACAAATAAAATCAGTAACAGTAGTATTCAGGTGCAGAAATGTAATAATTCAGTGTAAAATAACACAATAGTGCTCACACGTTAAATAAAGATTAATCTTTGTTAAAGCTGTGGTGTTATTTGATTAGCGGACAGAAGCAGGTATTTATTGGCTGCGGTCTCTTTAAGACCAAATGGACCTAATACTGACACACATCCGTTTTCTTTCTCAGCTGTTTACTTTCACTTAAGCCATAACCGACTGTTTTGACTAGAATACTTGCCAAAATGGGTATTTTAACATAACTTTGTGTGTATGTGAAAGAGGAATCAATTCGGTCTTCATGCGTTGTCTCGCTCTCTGCGTGTGCAAGCTTTGGTTGTGTGGCAGTTTGAGCGCACAGAAAACAGCGCGAGTTAACATTGCTTGAATGTGTAAATTGGCAAGACAAAACATGTGCAAATGATAAACTTTCACTCTATGATGGTTAAACTTAACAGTTAATCTGCGAATCACATGCGTGCCGAACCGTGGGGCCAGGTCCATGCGGATCACAGATCAACTACGACCCATTGCACCCCTAGTTATGAACGCGTAATATGATTTGACATATGAGCAGCGAATGAGCTTCCTAAGTCAGAACAGCGATCGCGGAAGAGAAAACACGTGTTGGTTACATTTTGTTCCTTCGTGCTTTTTTTTTGTCGAGGTAATGTAATCTTGTTAAAACAGATTTCATGAAATTGGTACCGAAAATCAGTATCGTTAAAATTGGTATAGTTTAGGAATTGCTATCGATATTGAAAATTTTTGAACGATACCCAGCCCTACATAATACATATCAGATCATAATACATATTGCTTTAGACAATCCTCAACTCAAGATGTACAGAATTTAGAATTACCTCCAAACCAGCGTCCATGTAATGCACTGACTGCAGCCATAGCAGCAGGAATGCTGGGACACTTCACATAGACATTACCCTGAAAAGAATGACAAAAGTACATTTCAAATGAATATATATATGCTCAACATTTACTATAGAAATTAATAATAACGGCGGGGCATAGAGGAGAAACAATAATGTACAGTATGTGGAAAATAATGTGTTTTTTTTTACCTTAAACCGCATAAACACATTTCATTACACCAAATACACAAAATAATGTTCTTTTTAGCAGCATCATATGACCCCTTTAAGGGAAGAAGCATACTTCAGCTGATTTCTTGTCCACATATATGTGTATGACTCCACCGTGTTTGTTGCACTCCTCAATGACATCATCCTGAATCTCAATTTCCCAACCAAGATCATTTTCTCTGCAAGAAAGAAATGTAATTCAGGCAAAAATGCTCTTTAACATTACTTTCTCAATATACCTGCAATTTTCTCCTGCTACTTACGAGTTTGGATTGAACATGTTAGACAGCTGGAAACAGTGCGTTGCAATTGGTTGTGATGGTAGATTCAAAGCTTGGTTTGTGGGCACATTGATGTTAAAACTCAATCCAGGGTTCATAGCAGCTGAAAGGAAAGAGATGGATGTTAATTGCAAACCCCATAGACCTTATTAATGGCACATCTACTGAACCCAAAAGAAAAGGAACTGACCAGTAGCTGCAGCCATGGCTACCATGGAGCCACTCATCTGAAGGGCCTGTTGTGCAGCAGGTGGGATCTGCAGACCAGTACCTAACAGAAAAAAATGTAAGCATTGTAATCCCTCTAAAAAAAATACCACAAGACATTCACTTCATAACAGTACGAAAACTATACAGCAGATCAAAGAGTACATCCTTACCCTCGGCCAGTCTGGCCATGAGTTGAAGTCTACCAGTAGTTCCCAGATCAATGCCTGTCCTTTCCAGCTCATCATTGTCCAGGAAGGAGCTGGCAGTGGAGGCATCAGTCCGCTCCGTCACATGTCCCACTTTCATTGGTCTGCCAGCCAACTCAAAGCCATTAAGCTGTTCCAGAGCCTTCTTAGCACATTCGGCATCAGCAAACTATGAGGAAAGAGGAATGGTAATAAGCTCTTGAGAAGATGAATAGCTTCTTCTTGAACTTGACACCAACTACTTGTCTTGTAATGTCAGATATTCTGTACGAAAACAACTTGACCACACAACTTACTGTGATAAAGCCATATCCTTTTGACCGTCCTGTTTCACTGTCCATCATCAGTTGAATACTTTCAATCTGTATGAAAAATGAACAATCAATATGAGTAAGAGCAAAGTCATAACATAACGTGAAGTGGGAAAAAAAATTAATGGCACTATTTACCCTTCCAAATGGCTCAAAGATGCCTCTGAGCATGTCTTCTGTGATGTTAAAATGCAATGAGCCAACATAAAGTCTCATAGGTCCAGAACTGCCCTTCTGTAAGTTGTTGGCCAATGCAGCTGCTCTGTTTTTCTCAGCCTGGTCACCAAACACACAATTTGCATTTAGAAGATGATCACATCTACAACCAAAGATTGTGCAAATGTTTCCACATTCGGAGTGACCATGTTACCTGTGAAGCCTGCACAATGATTGGTACTCCGAGTAGTCTTTGACCAGACAGGCCAATTGCCAAAGGTACAGAGGTGGTATCCACAAACTCAATGTATGCAATTCCTTTAGATCTTCTAGAGTTTCTATCAGAGATAATTCTCACATCTCGCACCTTTCAAGAACAACAATAGGAATTAGAGTAAATAAATAAAAACTATATAAATAAATAAAACTATAGATACACAAACACTGACTTTTCCCACTGCAGAAAAAAATTCTTCCAAGTCTCGTGGTCGGATTCTGGCTGCCAGCTGCATGCAGAACACTGTGCGTGCATCCCTTTCTTCGGGGGTGAGATTATCAATGGGCTTTCTGTTAGCAAAAGACAAAACACAAGCAATGAATTACTATATTCAGGAAAGAATTTAGTAGGGGAAAACTTAATTATCAAAGCTGAAATAAACTTACCTAATAGGGCTTTTGTCTTTCTTGAAAGGACTGCGGCTTCTAGACCTTTTACGGCTGAGAGAGAATTTCTGTGAGTACTTTTGGAAAGACTTTCCATGTCTGAGTCATACACAGAACAAGTAACTACCCACACACAACAAAAATAGTATCATAGAAACCTTAGTTTGATGGCAGGTGGTGGGCCAGTCTTCCCCCTGGGACCACCGTTAAATTTCAGGCCAGAACTGTGATTTAAAAACAAGGTTTTCAATCTCAGCAGCTACGACTAATCGCTCTACTGCTAGTGCTAAATATATATACGGTAAGCTTCAATAGGTTACACAAGGGTAAATGTTGTACACATTACAACAAATTCCTTGTTTTGGGGGAATCTACTCATCTTTTCTGCTGATTCAAAACAGACATGTAAATTGGGATGGCAGTTATACTCATCTGCATACTTAATATTCTCCGAAAGACATTTTCACACTCATCAGGAGCACTGTGTGAACCTTTTACTTCAAGTTAACATACTAGCTATGGTAAAAAAGACATTCAAAGAGCACTGTTTTTTCAAACTGTGTGGACAATTAACATGAAGATTAAAACCCAGAGCAAAAGATGGCTACGTACAATGGAGCTCTGTAGCGACCACCACGCTCCCTGCTCCTGGAACGGCTGCGCCGTCTATCCCTGCTGCGGCTGCGCTTTCGATCTTTGCTGCGGCTCCTCCTGCGGTCGTGACTTTTCTTGCGATCGTGACTCTTGCTTCTCTTCCTTTCCCGGCTGCGGCTTCTGCTGCGACTTTTGCTCTTCTTTTTCCTTGCAATTCAATAAAAAACTCAAGTTTAGTACATAAAACATTAAAAGTTTTGTAAAAGGTATATTAACTAAAAAGGTTATAAAGACATACTTCTTGCTCCGCTCCTCATGGCCATTGGTACTTAAGGACTTGTTGTCATCCTAAGCAGGGTCGATAGAAGACAGCATGAGGAGGACGGCGAAACATTTCAAGTCGTAAGGATAAAGAAGGGATGGGAACAAAAGAGAATATGATATGATCATTAAATAGGAGTTCATTACAGTGTTTGAGTGGGAGGATGACAAATACAAGGGGGACCTTTAGAAACCATCCACATGGCTGCCAAAGTCGTTCTTCCTTACTAGTGCTTGTATTACTTGTGTAGGACGGCCAAAATTCAAGTGCTAGTGCTATGCTGGGTATGTAAAATAGCATTGCATTTTTAGACACTTCATTCATTCATTAAGCAGCCCAACAGGTTCAGTACCAAGGCTATCTGAGCCTAAGACCCAAAGTGGCAACGCTAGCATCCAGCCACTAAACGAGCTCCAGTGGTGGATGCCATTCCAGTGATCTTCACCCCATTTGCCTTCGTTGATTGAAAGAGCTCGATGCCACCTCAGTCACACATCTCGCCCTGAAGCAAACAGGGATTCACACGGCTTAGTAATAGCGACTCCCACAGACCATCTAAAGTTGAGTTGTTCTTTTGTTGTTGTTGTTAAGAGGCTAGATTGTTTACAAGATGCATGTATCTTATTGTGAATATTATGATATTATATGCTGAGCCCCATCATTTCCAGTTTGAAAAAGCGCAGAATAACCATTTATAAGTACTTTTAAATGTCAGCAGCATGCATAAATACTTTTTTTCCCCACCAAAACAGATGACATTTACAGTATATTCATTTCAGGTTTTCAAAGTGATGAATAGAGAATAAGGAGACTCTGTGGATTTGCTTGTGTATGTCAACTCCAGAATTTCTGCACTGAGGATTGAGGGCTGGGCGATATGGGCAAAAATTAATATCTTGGTATTTTTTGGCCAATTTACAATATACGGTAAATATCTGTGTTTTTGTATTCGGATTAAAAAAAAAATCTGTATATATATAATATATATATATATATTATTTATTTCACTTACCGCCCAATGTTGTCCAACAAAACAATACATATAAGGCTATGAAAACAAATAAGTGAATGTAACCACTTTATATTATATTACTATAAAAAAGGGTTAAAATCACATTTCATTCTAACATTGCAATCTAAAAACAAAAATAAGGAGCAAGTTAAATTCATTAAAATAAAAATGAAAATAAATAAGAACAAAAGCACAGAGTTGTTTGGCTATTTTGATTACCCCATTACAGTCACTTTACAGTCAGTGCTATCATAAAAATAGACTTACTTGTAGGTTTAAAATTCTACATGTCACATTTATTGTCCAACTACAAATACCTCAGCGAAATGTATATTTCAGACCTGCCAACTTCGGAAATTTTTTTTTCTGCACTCAGTTTGTGATATTCCTGTTATACAGTATTTTAGAGTAAAAAGTGGGGATGCAACAATACAGTTAGCCCACAGTTGAATAAATACCACAGTTTTTGGTTTAGTTCTTTTTTGCTATTTTTAAATGCTATTTAAAAAAAATAAGTATTATTTTTATGGATTGGCAATTATTTAGTGCTATGAACACATGTAATGTGTGTGTCATTCCCACTGGACACCTGGGGGCGCCCTCGCGCAGAAAATCCACATATACATTATAGGAGAAATAGAACTCATGAGTCAGGACTCTACAGGAAATCCCTAATATGGATAAAAACAGCCAGCTATGGCTGTAACTGAATTAGGGCTGCACGATATTGGAAAAAACTCACATTGCGATATTTTATTTTTCTGCGATATGAAAAAAAAAAATCACCACATGACTTCAATAGTTTATTTGGAAAAAAAATTATCAATGATTGGGGTGATTTTGTAGGCGAGTAAATCAGCATAGTAAATAAACAAACCTGTACAATCCGTCGATAAAACAATATAAAGACAGCCAGAAATATTTTTCAGGTTAGTCTAACAATATTCAGGTACAGAAATTGAATAATCAAATGTAAAATAACACTGCATAGTCTTCAATGTATAAATTCAATTTAATAAATCTGTTTTAAAGCTACAAAAGTGATTTTTCTTTGTGTTTTGTTGTTTGATTAACAATCATAACACAGAAAGCCTCAGGAACATTAAACTGCTGTAAACCAATATACTATTACACATCCATTTTCTTTCTCAATTGTTTCCCTTCACCTAAGCAACTGCGTTTACAAGGATACTTGCAGAGCACAGTATGTCAGGCATAAATAGAAGCAGAAGTGAACAGAATTCAGTGTTTACGTGCATCTGCGTGGCTCTCACCGTGTCTACACCAGACTCGAGCAGCGCGGCGTGACGCGACAAAATACAATTATAATCAGTAATGCCGTCTACACTGGATGAGGCGCGGCACGACAAATCCCCGACAGTAAACTGATGCCGCGTTCACTTTATGACGTACTGACACAAAGTTAGATGCGCACATCGCGATATCGATGCTGAAACGATATATCGTGCAGCCCTAAACTGAATGAAAGTCAGAAATGCTTTGAATGATGACATTCTAAAAGAACATTAAGATAATAAACACTGTACTGCGACAATGTCGTATTTCTTAAACTGACTGTGTTCTTAAAACCACCTCGAGCATTTTAATAATTAAGTAACGTTATATTTATAATCCACTGCTAATCGCCGTTATTCCAGTGTAGAATTTATTTCTGCGTCATTCTGTGATAAGAAGCCACATCAGATCAAGAGGGAAATTATTTTAAATATTTGTCTGATGTTGTGCAGTAAAATAATGTTATAATGTTCTTTTTTGTTGTTGGACAAAAGGTTTAGTCATTACAAGGGAAGATGCTCGGCGTGTGTTGCATTTTCAGATGCAGGCGTTTCCTCATCTCAGCGCGCAGACTCACGGACACACAAACAGAGCAAGCTTGGGGAGAAATAAAACGCATGGAAATTTAAAAGCAAAACCAAAAAAAACACTCTGATTGGTTGAACTCTTCATCTTTTTCTGTTGCTTGTTTTGAATACTGAACGTGAACAGAGGCGTCACCAGGTTTGTTTGCGTAGTTTAGAGTGACAAATCGTATCAGCGTACTCTGAGGTCAAAATGCGTATCCGCTACGCAAAATGCGTACAGGTTGGCAGGTCTGATATTTTAGTCAGAATTATTGCACTCATTTAATTGAGCTCTGTCTGTTTGGCGCACATGCACGTGGCGGCACTCGTTCACTGAAGTCTGACAGCAAAATGGAAATATTTCCATGACTTTCTAACATTTACAGATGGAGAATATACCTGTGAAATGTAAGTTTTGCATTAAGGGAAACAGCACATCTCAAACACATTAAACAGCGCGAGTAGCCTAGTGTCTCTGTCAGCAGCACACGCAGCCTTACTGTCCAAGCATCTGACGGGCCGAGCCGCTTAAAATAATATGCGAAGCGAAACTATGAACTATGACTTACCAGTTTTTAAAGAAAATATTGACATATCGTACAAACTCGATATACCGCCCAGCCCTACTGAGGATTATGACATTTTAGTGGTTACCTGCCATATACTGTAAAACATGCAATCTAGTTCTAGCCATTTTGAAAGTAAACTTCCTTTCGATAAAAATATGAAGCTAAGAATACCATGCATACAATAACATGAGTACTGTCTCCACGGAGTTCATACCAGTTCTTATGTGCTTCCACTGCATTTACTCTGGTGGTACCTATGTATCATTTTGCCTATGTATTTCAACCAAGGGTACCACAGTACATCAATATATTGGGCAATTACTACCTTCATTTTTTTGACAGTTCACACTGGAATTCATGGGAGTAGAGGTGAGATATAGGCAAGTCTACAAAAAGAGATAGATGGGCAATTTATTCATTGAAACCACTATGACAGAAACATTCAAGTTATTGATCTGACAATAAAGACTTGAGAAAACACGACTGGTTAGCAGTTTCAAATGAAAGCTTTACAGATTCCTGAGCGAGTTTATTCACTTGCATAAACACCCACCTTTTTATATGGAGCCTCGAGCATTGCTTCAATGTCCAAATCATCGGCCATGTTGTTGTTGATCTGCAGGCGAGGAAAACAGTGTATTAAGTGGCGTTTAATGCTAAACCTAAGAATAGAAATCTTATTCTGAAGTCACAACACATATATTTGTCTGGACTGTTTCCCAAAATAGTACTTTAAACTCGGACTCTACATTTCTGATTTCGGACTGGACGTGGTCATGAAGCGCACTTTTAAGCACGTTAGCTTCCTGGCTAACTAACGTTATTTTTCTCACACACTGTCGCGAAACGTCTTGCTACTTATCACATTTTGGACAAATTTACACAACATTAGCACATATAACGAAATAATATCTAGATTTGGATGTTACATATCCACACCTTTCGTATTATCAGCAGAGAATCTTGAAGCTTGCTTTGTTAGCGCATTAACGTTAACCTAACGTAACTAGCTAAAGTCGCTTCCTCTTCGCAAACAAGCTGAAACAACCCGCCTTAAATGACGTAAATACAATAATTAAAAACATTTAACATCAACGTGATCCACGTATGGCACATAATAAATTGATATTGGTCAGATTGCTCTTATAAACAGATCCAAACAGTAAGTAACGTTAGCCATTAGCCTTTCCGTCTTACCTCAGACACTGCGGCCTACAAAGCTTTACAACCCCAACTCCGCAAACGAGCGGCAAAACCCGGATCTGCTGTTCGCTTCTGTTACCGTTGCAACCCCAGTAGATTAATTCTTATCCACACAAACCTAAAAAACACAATTGTATTAAGCCAGAACTTGATGGTTTAAACTAATACTAGTCACAATGCGCGTGTTGCGGTTATAAACGACAAGCTGACTGGCGACAAACAGCCACTGCGCGTGCATGACTCGTTTCTGTTGCATAAGAGGAGACGCGCGAGACTGTCCACTAGAGGGAGCTCGTGTTACACGCACAGACAACGGAAGTGCGAACTGCAAAGACACAAACAATTAACACACCCTAAAACTTTCTTTTTTTATTTTAATCGTCTGGTATTGTTAATTTATGAGTTACACGTTTTATTCGCGGTCAAAACAGACCGAAGATCATAATCGTATAATGTTTGTATTTTTTATCAAATTAATGCATTGTATTTCTATAATGTTACCCATAATCTAATTTGAACATTAAAATTCAATTAAAAATGTAACAAAAATGAACAGGAATGTTTTATCAGAACTTAGTTCCTTAAAACCTCTTGAGTCTTCTGGTCCTCTTAATGTTTTAAACTAGTTTCACATCTTCACTGCTGGATGCATTTTTTCTGCACTATGGCTGAATTATTAAATTTATTTAGCAAATTCTCAAAACTCTGGGCTGTGTTACAGTCACACCAGTTCATAGAGGTGTGTGTGTGTGTGCGAGAGAGCGAGAGAGAGAGAGAGAGTGTGTCTATTTTGCACTCTTGATGTTTTAGTTTCACCTCTTCACAGCTGTGTGCTTTTTTCTGAATTGTGGCTGACATCTATCTATCTATCTATCTATCTATCTACAACACTGCTGCTCTTTTCCTCTATCAGGCCTTGAAGTCAGTGTCACTCAGCTGACTATGGTTTTACACCATACCTCTGAGACCACATAATTAGTCAGACGGTGAACCAGAACAGTAAACAAATATACCTTGAGAAACAGGCTTACAATGAAAAATACAAAACTAGTTTCACATCTTCACTGCTGGATGCATTTTTTCTGCACTATGGCTGAATTATTAAATTTATTTAGCAAATTCTCAAAACTCTGGGCTGTGTAACAGTCACACCAGTTCATAGAGGTGTGTGTGTGTGTGTGTGCGAGAGAGCGAGAGAGAGAGAGAGAGGGTGTCTATTTTGCACTCTTGATGTTTTAGTTTCACCTCTTCACAGCTGTGAGCTTTTTTCTGAATTGTGGCTGACATCTATCTATCTATCTATCTATCTATCTACAACACTGCTGCTCTTTTCCTCTATCAGGCCTTGAAGTCAGTGTCACTCAGCTGACTATGGTTTTACACCATACCTCTGAGACCACATAATTAGTCAGACGGTGAACCAGAACAGTAAACAAATATACCTTGAGAAACAGGCTTACAATGAAAAATACAAATTTACCAATTAAATACGCATCTTTTGATGAGAAAAAAAAAAAATTATGAAAAAATATGACCCCACATTTTTCTTGGTTTAATCTCATTCTTTCCACTGACTCTCACCACAGCTTGCTTGATGTTCTGCTGGCTGCCAACTTTCCGTAATTAGCTCTCTCTATCCCTGTGCTCACAGTGAGGCATGAGTGCAGCCAAATGTAAATCTCTCCAGAGGCTTTCCACAGTATGAACATGACACACATCAGGAGGACGCCAGATTCTTGACACGTTACAAGAACCAGTCAGTGCAACTAGTGCAGGACCATTCGTCTTCCTGTATGCACTGCCACCTCCTCGGCCTTATTCACTTTTTCCATTCTGCTCTCCCTCTCTCTTTCCCTGTTGTGTTCATTTTTTACTTACTTTAATTTCATGGCAGATGCTTAATGCAGTTATTTTTGGTATTTGGAGAAAACTTACACTTGTTATGAAAGGAAGAAACAGCTTTGCATGTGTTTCAACCACAAAAATACCTTCTGGGTATGTGCAGAAGTTAATTGTTACATTGTAAAATAGCTTGGGAGATGAATCATAGTTCAAAACAGTTTGGAGAACGGCACATCTGAACTGAAGACGGCACCAAATGTTGGTTCGTTTTAACATTGTTTTAATGTTAACTATGTGTATGACTACACGGGCAAAAATATCCTATTACATGCACAGAAAGACAAGAAAGGATGTTTATTTGTGTGTGATCTGCATGTACATGTGTGTAGGCTATATTAGCTGGGGGAAAGGTTGAGTGTGGAGTGGAGCATTCTTTCCATTACTCTGACCAAATCAATGCACTGAGCTCCCAGCCAGTACGCCACGTCCCCTCCCCCACTCCAATGGTGACAAGGGGGCCAGCGGAAAGAGCTGACCCAGGCGCAGCACACTGGCTGGCCTAATTGCAGTTCTGGCCTTCTGCTACTTATCCTGGTGCTGGACAGTGGTTGCCCCAACACATGTCCTCCCTATGTGGATAAATACTCAAGCACATGGACGTGGGAGAAGCTGTTGCAACAATACATATCCATTAAATGTTAAAGGAATAGTTCACCACCCCAAAATTTAAATTTTCTGAAAATGTTGTCACCTTGAGGCTATTCAAAATTAAGGTAATCTTGTTTCTTCATCAGAACATATTTTAGCATTACATCACTTGCTCACCAATGGATCCTCTGCAGTGAATGGGTGCCGTCAGAATGAGAGTTCAAATTTCTGAAAAAAGCATCAAAGATTCATACATTTCTCTAAATCTGTTCCAATGAAGAATCAAACTCATCTACATCTTCGATGGCCTTAGGCTGAGTACATTTTCAGCAAATTCCTTTTATGAAAATGAAAATTCCGTCATCATTTTCTTCATGTTGTTCCAAACCTGACTTTTATTCTTCTTTGTAACACAAAAAAAAATATTTTGGAAAAATTTTTTGGCGATTCAATTAAAGTCAGTAGAGTCTAAAACAACAATGGACCCCAATTGACTTTCATTGTAAGAATAAAAAAAAAAAACTGACAGATTAAAAAAAAAATCTTTGTGTTCCACAAAAATGTAATACAGGTTTCAAACAACATTAATGAATGATTGAATGATGACAGAACTTTCATTTTTTTGTGAACTATCTTCTTAAGTATGTCAAAATATAAAACAAGAGTAATTTTTGCACAACAGTTGGAGGAATATCTTTGTGAAGATGAACACAAATCAAATGTAGTCTAAGAGTTTTTTTTTTTTTTGGTTGACCCTCAACTGACAGTGTAACTTTATCCATGAGGCTTAATCGGCATCTGGGAAAGCCACTATCCACAAACTTTACGTCTTTACAGTGGCATTCTTGGTCATTTTGAGGTCTGACCTTGGGGAACGCAGAACACAGACTGTAAATATTCACTTGTCTATATCTACTGTTTTTGTATCAGTTTAAGATGTAAAGATTACAAATAATGTCATGCAATGAATGAGGCGTAATTGTTTTCAGTTGCATTGCCTTTATGTTTGGAATAGTTTTGACCTTATGTATGATCCATCCACCGAACATCCTCTAAAAATAAGCATTTGAGAGAGTAATCTGCTTAATAGCTTTGAGTGGAGCACTAAACTGACCGTGGCATTTTATCGTAGTGCTTTCTAAACATAATTTCAGTGATTTAATTTCACTGATTATTTCCATATTGTTGTAGAAAAGCCCTCAAGAGCCACTCGACTGTATCTGAGAACAAAGACAATGGGGTTGTTCAGGACAGGATATCTGAACAATTCTTTCACAAAAAAATAGTAGCAGGTTCAAGGTGAGGCAATGGAACATGAGCAACTACTTCCATTATAAACAGCAGTGCACCTTACAGATGAAACGATATGCAAACAACTATTTTAAACAATCTAAATCCTTAAAAAGAATCAAGAATGGTAGACTTGCGACAACGAAATATGCAAACTCTCAAGTTCTCCTGAAAGACAGACTGGGTGGTATTGAAAAAAGCAGAAATTCAAAACAGATTAGGATTTAATAAAAAAACACTGAAAGTTAGCATAATTGTATTTACATATTTCAAAGCCATTTATTATTATACAAATTTTGGAAATAAATATTTACAAACCAACAACATTAAGTTACAAAAACATTTTCTCCTCTATGTCCAGTGCCAAAAAAGTAGACAAAACACATAGAGAGAAATAGCCTATAAACCATTATTTTTTGTTATTATTCCTGCAAAAATAGCTGACACCTTTATAATGTTTACTGACCAACTATCTCTTTCAAATAAACTGGAACAGGCTTATAAAGGATATTCACATGCCCTTTTTAAATGATGACTGACATAATATTTTTTCGCTTTAACAGAATAAACTTGTAAGAAAAAAATAATATTGGTCTCAGCTCAGCTCATCCTTTGACTTTTCCAATGGGCTGTTCTTTTCTCATACAGAAAATGTCCTTCATTGTATACAAAATACTTCCTTTGTTAGAAAAAACAAGGTGAAATTATAATTTAAGGAAAAACATATAAACAACAATGAATAATAAATATTGCTTGTTAATTAATTCGAACTATTGTCTATTCAGTCTGATAAGGCAAACATTGATAAAATGTTCATTAAAAAAAACAAAGTCCACTTAATTGGTGATATACAGTAATAAACCTTTGGTTTAATTCAAATAACTATCAAAAAACTGATCTATAGGACATCGAACAATGAGCAAAACCTCAAGATCGTCAGGGGAATCAGTAAAAAGGTTGTTAATGCTAGATTCTGACGTAAATGAATAAATAAACAACACAAACAAACAAAAAATGTGAATTGAATTTCAATTCTTCTTCTAAAAGAAGTCTTATCAGAAAGACAAATCCTCTTTTGCCTTACAAACAGAAAACAAAGGAGAGAACCCAGAGTTCAAGGACTGAGAGTGATCTGTGGGTTCACAGCACTGCGAGGTCATGACAGGACTTGGAGCGCACTTTCAGGGCCATCTTCTTGTTGTTCTTGGCCACAAGTCGATCTAGGAAGCGTCTGGCTTTCTTGGTGATGCTCTCTTTTCGCTTGTAGATGGTGCGTCGGCGCTCATTGATCTCTTTACTGTCTCGCCGCAGTCGGATCTGCCTCACAATGCCCTCAAAGAGCTCGTGAACGTTGTGGTGGAGGGAGGCGGAGGTTTCTATGAACTTGCAGTCAAATACCACCGCACAAGCCCGACCCTCTGCCACAGAAGACCAGGATTGTGTAAAACCAAACCCGTCACAAGGCTTTGAAGGCTTATGCATCTGCACCATGTCAGA